GGCGGATACTCCTCGCGGCTGTTGCCCCGCCCGCGCGAGGGAAGTCCGCCCATTGCTGTGCTCACTTTTGTGCCTGGCGCCCAGGCCCCGAGGGGGCCACCCAGCGTCTTCGCCGTTTAACGACGGCGCGGGCGTGGAAAGAAATGGGCCTGTCTCCCCCTCGCCCCCGGAGACAGCTGCGTGCGCTCACCCGCACGAGAAAACGTAATAATTGACGTTGCCGGCGCGGCGGCACGCAATGCGTGGCCCCGGTGCATTCGCGTGGCTCCCCCGCTTTGCTCTTCCGAATTCTTGCCCCCTCTCTTGCCCGCCGCAGAAAGCAAAAGCGAAGGCGAAGAAAAAAGAGAAACATGGTGCGACAGGTGGATGATTTGTGCCGCATGCGGATGCTGATGGCCGGCGTGTACGTTGGGCTCGGCATTTCTTCCACGTACGGCTTCAGCATCTTCACAAATCACCTGAAGACTAAGTACGGGTATTCGCAAAGCGAAATCACGACAATCAGCACGGTCGGCACTTGCCTGAACTATTTCAGCTTTCAGGCTGGAATGCTGTTCGACTTCGTGGGTCCCGTGGCTTCTTTTCCGATCGGCGGCCTTCTTGGAGGCCTTGGCTTCTTACTGTTTGGGCTGACCTTCGATGGCCGCATTCCGTCGAGCGTGGGACTGTTTGCCTTGTACCAGGGGATCACCCACCTTGGCCTCCCGGCGATGGACGTGTCTGCTGTAATGACGCTGATGGTGCAGTTCCCCTTGGACCGCGGCTATATGGTAATGATCATGAAGGTGTTCAACGGGCTTGGCACCGCGGTGCTGATGGCGTACTTCAACGGCTGGTTCAGGGCGGCTGACTCCGAAGACCCGGAGAAGGACAACTACTCCGGCTACGCGTACTTTGTTGGGGCGCAGATCCTGTTGTGCGCTCTCGTTGGCGCGTACTTCACGCGGTTGCCGATGTACTTTCCGTGCGCGTGGAGGAAGAGCCGGCTGAGCAGCGAGGAGATCGCGGAGCGGGAGAAGACGCTTGACCTGTACATGGCCCAGCGTGCGCCCCCGCGGCGTCTGAAGATCGGGTTTTTCGATTGTCATTGGTATGCTGATCTTTTCCACAGTCCAGTCGATTGCGACGGCGTACGTGAAGACGTCCCACGCGGGGTACTTGGCGATCTCGATCGTGGCGCTGCTGCTGATGGCGTCGTTCTCCACGATGGCGCTGCCGTTCCAGTTTCTGGGCCGCTACACCCCCGTGCGTGCAACGGATATGGACTGCATCGGGGAGGCGGACACGGAGCCGATGCCGCAGCAGCCAAGCGAAGACGTGTCAGCGGAGCCTGAGGCGGAAGGCAATGACCTCCCACCAAAGCAACCGCCGATTCCGGCGCCGCAGTACCAGGGCTCCTTCTGGGCCCATCTGCTCTCCGTTGACATGTGGGCGTTGTGGTTCTCGTGCTTTGGCATGTGGGGCACCGGCACGGTGATGCAGATGAACGCCGCCCAGTTTTACCGCAGCAAGAACAACGGCGGATTTGACACCCGAACTCTGACGCTGTACGTCGCCATCATGTCTGTGGGCAGCGCTGTTGGACGCATCTTCATTGGGTTGGTCGACATCAAGCTCCTCGCGCTGCGTGCTGCAGGCAAGTCAGAAATGCTGTCGACTGTTGCGCTTCCCGTTGGTCCCGTGCTGATGGTGTTGGCGTACCTCTTCTTTGCCGTCCTGCCCGGGAGCGTGCTGCTCCTTCCTTTTGCGCTCGCCTCCATAGGTAACGGCATTGGCTGGGCGGTGGCCGTCATTGGGGTTCGCATGATGTACGCCCGGGATATTGGGAAGCACTACAACTTTATTTACACCTCTGGGGCAGCCGCGACCATTGCGCTGAACCGCTTCATGTTCGGGGAGATGTACGATGCGGAGGGACGCAAGCGTGGCGAGTTCCCATCATGCAACGCCCCCTCGTGTGTGCAGAAGCAAATGTTTATCCTGATGGCCGTCAACTTGCTCTCCACATTTTCCGCCCTGTTGGTGCACTGGCGATTTTCGCGCTTCACTAATGCGCGCCTTGCGGCGGCAAAGGCGGCTGCGGCAGCCCAGCAGCAATCTAATAAAGAGGAGCTCGAGGCACAGCCAGTAGAGCCGAGTGAAGGAATTCAACTGGGTGCGTAGGGGCTGTGCTCCCGCTTCTTTTTTAAACTCCCCACTCACATTTTCCCCCGCTCTCTCTATTTTCGGTGATTTTGTTTTTTGCCCCGCCTGAGGGTGCTGGCGCGAGTGCGAGGGCCGCTATGGCCGGGGACTTTTTTGCCCCCGCCGCCGCCGCCACTGCCTTCAGTGCCACGGCTGTGCCGCGCTTCAGGCGGGGACACCATTGGGAGGAAAACGAAAAATAAAAATGGCGCCCCATAAAGGCCTAAAATAGCGCCATCCAAAAGAAAAAAAACGGTATTAATAACTGCGGCCGCCCCGTGTTTTTTTTGTTTGTGTTTTTTGGTAGTCGTGCAAGAGATGCGGAGTAAGTCTACTGAGCCCCGCCTTGAGGACTGCAGCTGTGGGCGGAGACTTCGTGTTTTAAGTTCTTTCTTATTTTTATTTTTCTCCTTCGTGTCCCGCTCTCCCTTCACTCGGCCCGTAAGCAGTCGGCGTGGAGGAGGTGGCGGTACCTTTTTTTTTTGTTTTGTTTTGTTTTTTGAGGTGTGTGACTGGAATTCGCGTTACCACTGGCCGAAGCGGGTGCGTGAGGGTCTTGCGGGGCTCCCCTGTTTCTCGATTGGCCGCTTGATGCTTCCAGCGACGTTGCGAAGGGCGGCGGGGCCCTAACGACGGCCACTTAGCGCTTTCGCGACGGAAGCTCAGCTGTCGATGTATGTGGTTTCTTTTTTTTTTGGGTTGTTTATATTTGTAACTTGTTGTTCGCTAAGTTGTTTTTTTTTTGTTGTGTGTGTGTGTGCGTGTGGGCGCTTGGGTGCGTCCGACCAAACTGTTGTCCCTCCCTTTTAGAGGGTGGGAGGAGAAGACCCCCCAAACTTGGCGGGGACTGTGAAAATAACGCACTTTTTTTCTTTTTTTCTTTCTTCGCTGCATTGTCTAAGGAGGTTGGCCGCGGCAACCGCAGGGGTGAAAGTGGCAGACCGAGCACAAGAGAGCGTCGGTGCCGCTGGCGCTCATAGCGTGAGCAGCCCAACAGGACTGGATAGCGTGGGGGCGGCAGTGCGGAGACGCAACTGCACTGGACAAGAGGAAGGCGAAAAGTCACGCCCCAGCCGACGACGCACACGCTCAGCGAGAGGAGCACGAAACTCACACTGCCTGGGCTCGCAGATGTTAGTTCACATGCAGAGCTCCTCCAGCAGCTGCGATGGGTTTTCCGAGACCCTGCCGATGAAAGATACGGTGGAGCGGCGTAGGCGGAAACTTCAGGACGCCCTGGGAAGCCTGGGAGAGGACTCCGACGCACCCCCGGCGCTGCGACGCCTTGCCCTTGCGGAGGCCGAAGATGTTATTCCTCACTGGGGCGAACTCCGTGAGTTGGGGAATCGGCAGGAAGAGGAACACAGCGCACAGTATGAAGAAACTTCTGGCGTTGGGGTGACAACAACTGCACCGCCATCGCCGCGCGACGAGAATGCGAGGAGTTGCTCTAGCAGGCCAGATGGAGCAGCGCAAGTCTGCCGTATTACTAGCCGCGAGAATGTGGAGCCGAACGTAGTTCGCCACAATGACGCTGCACATGGCATGAATGGGCACTCTTTCAACAGACGAAGTGTGGAGAGTCGTGGCCCTCCATCTAAGACGGCATTGTTGTCGCCAGTTCTTCGGGCGTTCTCCTCCTTCGCTTCCTCGCTGTGTTCGCTGGGTCATGGTGTTGCCGCGACGAGGACGAGAGGAGCTGCATTTCCGGGTGGCGGTAACACCAGCTATCCGGAAGGAAGAAGTTCCTTTAGTTCCTCACAGGCCGATAAGTTCTTGCCGGATGCGCCGTGCTTAGAGAGAAGGGATGCAATGTCACTAGAGCGTCAATGTAGTACGGCTGGTAGTGGCGCTTGTGTTGTCCGTGCCTCCTTACACGTCTCCGACGCTGCTGAGGTTCATCAAGGCTCCTCTGCCACTTCCTTCAGCAGTCCGTTTGGGCTGTTGGAGCCTGATTTATTTGCGGCCTCATACCCGCGCGGGAGAAACCCCGAACGCCCTCGACGGAGCACCGTGAAAGCCACTTCTACTGTGAAGAAGGCCCATTGCAAGGAGCCGGTTCACAGTCGCGTGAAGGAGAGGGTCTTCCCACCATACTCCCAAAATGAGGCGGCAGTGTCATTGGGTGGTGTGCAGGCCCACCAACGTGTGAGGACGCGTGAAGGTGAGGGCTTTTTCTCCCCCTTGACGTCGCGACAAGAGTCTACAGACTCTTTGATGCATTTTTCGTCCACCGCTCAAGCCCCACGCCATAATTTTTTCTGGAGCCCGCGAGTCCACAAGCAAACGCAGCTCCAGTGTCAGCATTCTCGGGTCTATTCGTTCAGTTACGCCAGCTCGGAGAAAACTCCGTGTAGTCCGACAGCTAGCGGCAGCGTTCGCCCGTGGACTTCTGAGTCCCTGGAATGGATACATCAGAGGTTGCTTCTTCAACAGGGAAATGCGGGTACAATGCCCGTATTTCTTTCTGGAAGTGCTGCGGGGGAGGCTGGGGAAGGTGGGGCAGTTCGGCTACCAGCGAGGCACAACGGCAGGTTGGAGGAAAACAGTATCAGCAGCTTGATTCTAACGTGTGCAACTAGCAACGTTGATACAATGCGGACCTGCCCAGATGCTCCGCTAGACGCCTTTATGGGGTCCTCCACGTACACTGCGAACGGTGTAATGACCCCAATGACATGAAGTACGAGGAAAAAAGTTTGGAAACAACAAGTTTCAAAAAGTTATGTGTATGTGTACGGTGAGAGGGTGTTTTGCCAAAATAGTGATACGCGACACCCAAATAAAAATCAATAATAATAAAAAAGAATTATATATGTATATGTATACGTAAAACGCTTCTATGTATGCTACACGTATGTCATGTTGAACATTTTTTTCAATAAAGAAAGAACGTGGACTATACCGCTTTTCTCCGACCCCGAAAAGCTTTTTTGTTCGTTTGTTTGTTTTTTCTCAGTTTGCCTTATTCCTGCTATTGCTCTTGTTTTTGTTTTCTTCGTTTTTTTTTCGTTTCAAATGTTCTTTTGCGGTTCATTCTCCAGACTCATAGGGCGCCTGCTCTCTATTTACTCTGCCTTTGTTGTTGTTTATTGCTTTTGCATTTACAGTTTTTTTTCCCCCCTGTTCTTCCCCCTCCATGAAGCTTTTCTTGTTGATCTTTTTACTGCTTTCTCAGCCCGGACGTTTTTTTTTCTTTCTTTCGGCGTACACACACACATATATATATATATATGGGGGAGTTTTGCTTTTTCTGCTTTGGGTTCCTCCTTTCTTGTTGCGGTTGTTGTGTGTGTGTGTTTTTTTTCGTTTTTCTTCTGTTCTATGCGGGGTTTACTCGTGTGGTGTTGCGGGGGCTGGAGTAAAGTTGGGTGGCGCGTAGCGGGCCGCCTCCGCCTCGCCTTGCCTCACACACCCGCCCACGTACAAGTGTGTATGCGGCCATCTCTGCGCTTCCGCTTGCTGCTGCACTGCGCTGTCGCGGGTGCGTTGTGTGGGCGGCTCTCTTTCGCGTGTGTCGTCGTTTGAGCTTCATCTGTCATCTATTCACCTTTTTTTTGTCGTTTCTGTTTTTTTTCCCCCGAAGTTCGTATGCCTTCTGCGGAGTCTGGAGCCGGCAGTGACTTGCCTGGAGGAGTGAAAAGAGAAAACGAATAACATTGAAGGATGCCTCCCCGTCCCTTCTCCACGTACAGATGTATGGGCGAGTTTGTGCGTGTCTGCGTGAGTGGCATTCAAAACGTGTC